ATTAGACCACAACTCGGGTCCCGCGTAGTTGTCTTCCGCCGCCGGTGTTCGTAACCACGTCGCGCGAAATTAGATAAAAAGAAACCTAGCACAATGACACGGTGGGACTCGAACCCGGGTCCACTGGGTGTTAGCCCAGTATTTTACCACTGAGCCACACCGGGGCTTAGGAGTTGTTGGCAGACTTCCCTTAGGCAGGCTTCGTGTCGGGAAAGCAATCGCGTTAATACGACTTGTAAAGCGTTTTAAAACAGCAAAAGAATAACCAGTCGTCGCACAATGCGAATAGCGTGACGAGTGGGTCGTCTAATGCTCCAACCCATTACAAAAGCTTGTTTTTGTTCGCCTATTAACTGTGGCGCATACCCACTTCAGCCATAATTCCTCATCGTCGTCAGCCAATTTTGTGCCAATGAACAATTGGCACAAAATTATTTGCAAGTGTTTAACGGATACCACGCTTCTCAAAAGAATGATAAAAAAATATCATAGCGAATGCTGGCCTACTAGCCAAAAATTTTAATATTAATGCCCTAGTGGGTATCAAGCAAGTGTGCTTGCAGCAGTTACCCAATGATTGTTTTGAAAGGCTCTGAAAGGCCGCTCTTCTGGCGTTCGCTGTGACACTGTGCTGCGCCTTTCGCGCAGGCCTGGCGTTTTTTTTTTTTTTTTGTTTAACGCAAGGTAATCGACGCAGAAATGAACTGTTCCATATGTCTTTCTTTTGGAAGAGAAATGGCGATGACCGGGAACACGAGGAAGGACGTATGATGTAACATGTCTGACACGTTGTCCTCGATGATCTTGCGTTCTGCTAGAGACATACGATATGGGCACCGGTGTATTAAAAAAGGCAAAATTAATGAACGATTACTCGATTAAAATGTAATGATTAATCAAATAAGCATAATCTATTTGCACCTTTTGATTATTGAACTAATCGATTTAAACTTTTCGATTAATGGATAACGCCAACCGCCGCCCTCACCCCCAACACCGCCCCTTTTTGGCCAGTGTGCATGAGTGCGAGGCCAGCGATGGCGAGAACCTAATATTTTAAATGCGAAACATTTCTTTACGTACTCTAAGCTCTTTTGTCGTCTGCATGTCTTGTATGTGCGTAATAAAGCGCCTTTTCTGTTCCGCTTGTTATACTCACCCCCAGCATTGTAATCTCAACGCTAGAGCAACCGCGTTCAAGTGTAATTTGCACCGTGCTCAAAATCGCCACGGTCGCAGAATGCTGACGCCGGTGAGTTTCACGTGGAACACGGGCACAGTGGCGGAGCGCTGCGTCGCCCTCGTGTCAAAATGCAACCGTAGAAGAAGGCGCATGGCCAATCGTGCTGTTTGTACAGTGCGTGAATTAATGACGTGAAAACACTCGCCGCTGTCAGTGCATATAGCGCTCGTTCTCTTGTACTTGCTTCGTTGTCGGTGAGCTGTTACTCGCTGTTAATACTTGGACGAAATGATTTCGCCGAAGGTGTCACGCTGGCCCAGAGTGTTGAGCCCCGTTCCATTGGTTTCGGGTCGTCTTGACACGCGCGCTGCCCAGCCCACGTGCTTTCCGAGCCGGAGAGAGAGTCGCGCCTTCTGCCTTAAATTCTGATGTAAAAAAGGGAGGAGAATTCACCCAGTCAATATGGCCTGGGTGCGCTTATGTCAGCATTACCAATTATTTTGTTAATACAAACAGACCAGGTAAGAGTGCTAGCTATGTGACCATTTAGGTAGCGATAGAACGTTACGGGTTCAAGGGCGGAGTTGTCAAACAAGTAGATATACGGGAAACGCGTGAGAGTTTACATTAGGTAATGTTTACTTCCATTAGTCAGGCTTCACACCAGTTAAATAGAAAGTTGACGTCATTTTTAAAAGCTGTTACGTCATTTAGGTCAGCGATTTCTCGATATAACACACAATCGTCTGCAAATAAATGAATGTTAGATGTAACACATTCAGACAATTCATTAATATAAATATGGAAAAAGAGGGGGCCAAGTATAGAGCCTTGGTGTACTCTAGAATCGACAGGACCTAATTGGGAATTAAAAGTGTCAGCAGACACATATAGTGAGCGACCGTTCACAAAATGTTCAATTCAAGATAGTATCTTATGATGTTAAACATCTTAATTTCATGAGAAGTAAGCTGTGGCAAACTTTTTCAAACGCTTTTACAAAAACAAAAAACAGCAGTGGAACGACGTTCAGTGATGGTGTGTAATTTATGACTGAATAAATCCAGCTGTGTTTCACACACACACTCAAAAAGTTTGCGGAAGCCATGTTGAATATTTGAAAAGAATTAGTTCGCATCTAGGAAACTTTGCAATGTTACTTTTAAGGACCTGTTCAAGTATTTTACACGGGATACTGGTAAGTGCAATTAGCCGGTAGTTGAAGGGAGAATTTTTACTCGCAGATTTATGCGCACGCACCACCTTTCCAATTTTTCAGTCAGGTGATAGTGTGGACGCATCATCATATTGCTGGAATATTTTAAATAGAATAACATTAGAATATACTTTGGTACTTCTTTAAAAATTTAGGACTGATGGGACCTATTCCTGGGATTGAAGACACTTCTAGAGATTCGATAATTTTTTCTACACCTTAGGTGTTGAATGATGATTGAATCCATAGTTACATAATTGAAATACTGCAAATCGGGACATTTCGCACACGAAGACGTAACAAAGTTACGACAAAATGCTTTGTTTAAAACTGCAGGACAATTGGCGAGCAGAATTGTTCCCCCAGAAGGATCTTATAATAAAATTTTCTATCTCTATCAGGGTTGATGGACCACCAGAAGTTCTTTGGGTCATCATTGAGCATAGTAGGTAATGTGATCTGTAAAAAATTATTACGGGCTCTCTTTGACTGATTGATTAGTGGAGTTTAACGTCGCAAAACCACCACATGATTATGAGAAACACCGTAGTGGAGGGCTCCGGAAATTTCGACCACCTGGGGTTCTTTAACGTGCACCCAAATCTGAGTACACGGGCCTACAACATTTCCGCCTCCACAGGAAATGCAGCAACCACAGCACGGGCTCTCTTTAGCACAGAAGCCAAAGCATGCTTCGCCAGAAAGAGCGCTTGGCCAAATGGACGAATAGTTTTTTTTTTTTTTACCTTGCCGTTTTATGAGTGAGCAGTGTGAAATATACCAAGGTGCTTTGAGGAAACAGTATACGCGTAGGAACGTGTCTCTCAATTAATTCACCAAGTTTTGATGCAAACATATTCTACTTAGGATTCTGGTGTCCAGTGTGAAAACCTTCCAACAAAACGTCTAAAAAGCTAGACAGCCGATTATTAATATATAGCCTCAAAGATGGTTTTGTTGAAATTACGAAATATAAATGTGGTAGCCGCGGTTGCTCTGTCGGTAGAGAATCGGACTCGTTATTTGATGGTCGCAGGTTCAGTCCCTGCCCCCGGTAAGTTATCTTTTTCGTCCACTTCTCTTTCCTCGCATTTACATTACGTTTACTACTAATAGCATCCCCTATACTTTCCATAGCATTACTGTCTGTTCGTTCTCATCAAATGTATCGAAGCACCTTAAGACACAATTGGCAAGTATCGTAAAGGGTATACAATTGTTTCGGTTGTATCTTGTATGTGTATCTCAAATGCTTCACGCCCGCGATACAACTGCAAATCATCTCTGCCCAGCCCTGCGATAAACGTTGTCAGTGCAGTCCAAACGTTTGCCCTCTGCTTTGCTTTTGGAAGAAAAGTCCGATCTTCGGCTACATCGGCTCACCAGCCTCCCGGCTTACAACGACACGCAAGCCCATTCCAAACAGCGCACACGGCCGCAACAAACGGTCAGGCACGCCGAATGATGAGCGTTGGAGCGAGGCCACGCCGTGATGAATTTTAAAAAAACATTAAAACTAGCCGGGCGGGAACGGTCACGGGCTGAAATACGGCTCACACGCGCGCGTCAACCGCAAATACTTGATTGTTTTGTGGGGTTTAACGTCCCAAAACCACCATATGATTATGAGAGACGCCGTAGTGGAGGGCTCCGGAAATTTTGACCACCTGGGGTTCTTTAACGTGCACCCAAATCTGAGCACACGGCAACCGCAAATACTTCCACAAACAAACGCTTCAGTTCTGGGACGCCACCGGCTTATAACTTCTAAATGCGCCGAATAATTAATTTTTCTTGGGCTCACTGAGTACGATAGCGCCAACGTGGTTAGACATATAGTTCAAGAGAGAATTACCGGCTACGACAGGACTTCGTACACTTGCTCCGGTTATTGCAAGCGAACACCACTCGCTCTGTAGCGCACCCTTTTATCAGGAGGAATTCAGCTGCACTAAACTACTATATACTTATTCATAAGGTTCCCGACCATGGCGACAGCGCCAACTCAAGCTATCGCGAGTCAGTGAATGTTTCTCGACTACGTGCATGAATGGTAGCTCTAAGCAAGCTCAATGCACACAAAAACGCGTCTAGAACTAAAAAACAGTTTAATATACACTTATTGGGGCATTGACGTCCCAAAGAAACAAAAATCGCACGTTTCCTTGCTCTGTCATTAACGTGGCGGTGGAATCAACCCCCTCTTCTCATTTTGTTTAATCTGTAATGACTAAGAGGGGTGGAAAAGGGAAGTTTTGTCATAAAAGAGGCCTATATTGTATATTTCACGCATAATGACCCTATATTGTATATTTCACGCATAATGACCGTCTCCTTTGGAACACGTCAGATGTGTGGACATTATAGCGCACAGCAAGAACGACGCGTTATGTCTCATTTGAGGCATCGTATCGTTTAATTAATCAGTGGTCAGCATTACAATCTCCTGCGAACGAAGCGGGGGGTGGGGCTAATTTATCTCGCCGCGCCGGGTGTTTTATCACAACAACACACAGATAGGAAGCCACCGTTAGTCATTCGCTGACCTCGACCGAGCACAATCATCGCTTTTAAGCAACGGCGCCGCCGCGGTACAGTCACCAAAGCTCGGCCGATGTCGTCGGCTGTGTGGGATGCTTGCATGCCCGAAGGGCGACCATCAAGCCCTCGCATGAAAAACCCTGCCAAGGCTCTGGCAGGTGGAGCTACCGTCGTGTCGTCTGCTGCTCCTCCACGACCACCGTCGTTGGTGTCTGCGGAAAGCCTGTTCGGTAAATGTGCGCTTCTTTCCTTCACTGTCGCGCCTATAGTATACATGCTTGCGTATGCGAAGAAGCGCGCGGGGGTATGAGCGCGTCGTTTATGATGACCCGATAACGAACAGACGTGTTCTGCTGGAGCGTACGCCACTGTCCAGCTCTTCGAATAGGTAAGCCGGCCGCCTGTTCCCTAAAGTTGCGACGCCGGAACCACCTTTCATTGCTATTCCATTTCTCTCTATTTTAATATTTTTTAGGCTTTAGAACTCTGGGGGTTTCGCCTTACTTTAATTTTCATTTACATGCGCGCAAAATAAGCCTGGAAATTGAGAAAGACTGAATTGTATATGACCATCAATCGTTCCACGACATAATGACGCACGGTTTCACATATATTTCCGCGTACATTTTTTTTGCGTATATATTTTATATCGGCAAACATCACGACCCAAAAATCACATTTGCGGAACACATTGTGAACATAGCTCCAAAGCTTGAGGAATGTTGGCAATACTTTCGAAACAGGGCATCATCTCGTTCTCATACAGATGCTACTAAAACAAGCTCGTTCTCTTGCTGCTTAGGTAAGTTTTGTATTTTTGTATTAGGCGTATATACAACAAAAACATCTGGTTGTGGAACAAGGAATCATCGTCACTGCACTTGGAAATCTTATGTAGTTTATAGGCAGTTTTTTTTTTTTTGGCACTTCGAATTATTTTTTTTCTGAATCACATGGCGCATTCAAATGTAACAGTATATTCCCAGATAAGGCAGAAATCACTTGTTTGATGAACTGCATTACTCAGATATATAAATTGAAATATTCGTCGATAAACTGTCAAAATATTTGAGTTAGGGCGTATACGTTACTATCGTGGAAATGACACCGAACTTATGAATTCTGCCGTATAAATCAGCAGATATTACTATACTTGCACCTTAAAAAAAGAAGAAAAAATCACAGCATATCCACCGACGGAATGATGATGAGTGGGGCGAAGCGTCCATCAGCCCGTCCGTGCTTCCGTCCGTCCGTGCGTCCGTCCGTGCGTCCGTCCATGAGTCCGTCCACCCGTCTGTCCGTCCGTTCATGCATTTTATTTTATCCGTCCGTACGTCCACGCGTCCGTCCATCCGTCCACCCGTCTTCTAGTCTGTCTGTTCGTACGTCCGAGCGTCCACCTAGTGAACACTCCAAGTACCGCCATCTCCCATCTCGCATCCCATGTGGCACATACCCGCTCTAGAGTGGGTATGTGCCACGGGTGGTTACGTACAACATCGGAGGATGTACAGCCGTCAGCACCTTCAACACGAACACTTCGATGCGTGGCCAGGGCTAGTTTGATTGATGCCAGCCACGAAGTGCTGGGCGCTTTTGCCGAGATAATACCTCTGTAGGCTTGGATAGTATGTCGGCATGTATGGTTAGTATCTTGGCAACAGAACCCAAACGTACGTGGTGTCAGCGTCAACCAAAGTGCTGCAGGACACGCAGCAGAGCATTCGTGTTAAAGGTGCTGACGGCTGTACAGACTCACGCCTTAAGGAGCTTCGCCACTTAAAAAAAAAGAACGGCAGAAAGAGGAAGATGTAAGCTTGCAATGAAAAAAAAAATATCCGCAAACAATGTGCGTGCGCTCGAGTCGAGGCTTCATCAAGTGGACTTCAAGGCAGGAACTTCTTCAACAGATTTCACGCCAAGTGCACCTGTGGACATCTCGGTTCAAGCACACACGCATCTTTTTTATAAACTTGCACATGAATGATATCTTTACCACGGCCCTTTCCAACTTCTGCGAAACTGCTTCTGCGTTTGTGTGTGTGTGTGTGTTTGTGTGTGTGTGCGTGTGTGCGTGCGTGCGTGCGTTTTGCGGTAACCGTTTTTGCTGAATACAAAACGTGCCACTGCGCGCCTTCAGTTGTGGAAATTTTCGCGGTTGTTATTGCCGATTCTGTATAACACTGCATGAGCGTCACCAGTACGTAGCCAGAAGTGGAGGAGGGTCAGGGTTTATTCAACTTGCCCGCCCCCTCCACTAGCTCGCAACAAAGAGTTTTCACAAAAGCTTTTCGGTTTTTGTCAAAAGTCGCGACAAAACATTTCCGCACATAATCGCAATGCCCACGAACAATAGGTGAGGCACTCTACAATTTAACATGGCGCCCGTAGGAGGGTCAACCCATTTATTAGCAGGAAAACAGACAAGACGGGCGGACCGTGCCACTTTCACTGGTTGAAGTTTCGGCCTAACATGTGACGTCAATGAAACGTCAGAGTAAAAGAAGTTACTAACAGAGCGTTAGCTTTATTTTGCTCTGAAGTAATAGATTTATAGGAAACTAGAAAAGAAAAAAAAATAACAGAGCAGTTTTTGCACCCTGAGTTGTATGCTGTGCAATTACAGCGAGTTATCTGCTTGGTTCCGCTTTCAAGTACATCGGGACTCTGTGTATCCTTGCCTTCCCGCCGGTTGCCTTGACTCGGTCGGCGCAGCCAGTGCTGCGTCCCAGTTTATTACTTGTTGCGTCAGGTTATGTTCTACTGCATGTTCTGGGTGACTTAGTCCTCGTTATGCAAACCGTGTGCTTCGTCAGACAGTGCCGCACAACTTATCAAAGTGCAAACAGCATTCGCTTTCACATGCTGGCGAGTGAGCCACAGCGCAGAGTAGTGTGGCTTCGAGCTTTCAAACGCGATGGCCTCGATGGTATGGGCGCACAGAGTGGAGGCTCATGGTCGGGGCTTCCGCAAGCGGAGGTTCTGCCACGATGCCTCGATACGAGTGCTTCCAGGACGCAAGTTTCTTCGCCGCCGTCTTCTCTGACGATGGCCGATCTTGCACCCGCATGGGTGCGTCGGCGTATGGCTCAAAGCCTAAGAGCCAACCCCACTCCAGCAGACGATGCGGCATGTAGTTTGAGAAGGTCGGCCATTTTACGCTGTGCGGCCGTGACGTTATGCTATTGTTATGGCGGTGACGACGCCGTAATCTAAATAGTATGATGCTACGAAGCACGGTCAACTAAGGCTTAAAATCATTGGGTCTTCGCCATGTTTTGTCGACAACAGAAGCTTCTTATTGGCTGTCATAAAGTGAAATAAGCTGCACAGTTGACGGGAACGTGAGCTAGAAATGACGTGTGAACTGAACGGCACTACGAGGTAGTCTCGCATGTACCGAGCCTGCCCGACGGATTTTCCGTGCGAGTGTAGGTCGCTAGTGAGTAGCGCCGTTGCTGCTGCATGGGACCAAATGTTTAACGTGGGGGTGGTTTGCAAACATATTACGCTGTTGTCATTACTTGCGCTGTCAGAAACACGGAGTTGCTTTTAAACGCAGCCACGCTCAGAATATAGCCGTACGCAATTCACTGTATACTCGTATGGTGCAAGCTCGATCAGCACGATCGAAAGATGATTTGATTGATTTGTGGGGTTTAACGACCCAAAACCCCGATATGATTATGAGAGACGCCGTAGTGGAGGGCTCCGGAAATTTTGACCACCTGGGGTTCTTTAACATGCACCCAAATCTGAGCACACGGGCCTACAACATTTCCGCCTTCATCGGAAATGCAGCCGCCGCAGCCGGGATTCGACCCCGCGACCTGCGGGTCAGCAGCCGAGTACCTTAGCCACTAGACCACCGCGGCGGGGCAACGATCGAAAGATGATCTCTGATCGAAACATAAAAAAATAAAAAAGAATGCACACGTATCTTTTTGAAACGTCAAACAAATGAACGGTGCGAAAATTCGACGAACAGCGCCGTTCAGAATGTATTGGTGAACTATACGGACGTTAGCTGAGGGGCATGGATTGTGGCCGCAACGTTTCGTCGCTCTATCCTTTTCGCTTCAATGGTCGAGCTCGAGCGGGTTCGACAACATGCAGAGCTCCATGATATCCACATTAATTGCGTGTCATGCAACGCAAAAAAAACTGTGTTTATTTTGATCGCGCTGAAGGATATTATACACATACAATTAAAATGACTTATACAAGCGTGAAAAAAAGCATTATCGCACGAGGGGACGTTAAGAGGAATTCGCTCCTCGTGAGTTAACCGCTGATCGTACGTTTCATCGTCCCTGTCACTCTTCGTGCTCGTCGTCATGATGGTTTATTTCAACATCACTGCTGAAAGCAATCTGAAGAATTTCCTTCGCTGAACTACTTCTACCACTCAACCAACTCAAGGTCACCCCGTTGCATGCCTAGGTGCGGAGAGCATTTTTACCTAGGCGTGGAGGGCTCACACCGGTCAACAAGCAAATCGCTTGCAGTGTGCTGCCACCGAATAATAATATATCTGGGGTTTTACGTCCCAAAACCAAGATATAATTATGAGAGAGGGGATGGACATCCCGTGGAGGGCTGGACAGAGAGGGATAAAATGACCCGATACTGCGAGATTGCGAATGTTTATAAAAAAAAAATTTAGGTGTATTTATATACCACCAAGCCCCAAACTCGACAGATCCGAAGCGGTAAATTGTAGTCAATTGCAAACTCAGACCTTTTTCAACCGCGTTCATTTTAACAGGGTATACCCAGATGTCTATCCAGACGATACACGCAAATTGTTCGACTGGACTCGCGCATCACTTAGGCACATTCTCTGGGAATGTTCAGTTTTAGCAGAAGCCAATGCAGTCTTCCCAGATGAGGCTGCGGCGCGATGGACGGCTGCGCTTCGCAGCTCCAGCCTCTATTATCAAGTGTACGGAGGCCATCCAGCAAGCCCGCGAGGTGGCGAGGAGACAGGGTCTCCGTTCCTCCTCGGGGGCGGTTTATAGGCCCAGGCCACGAATTTGTCGGCGTTTTTAATAAAGCTGATACCACCACCATTACGACGACCGAAACTGTCTGTGTAAGTTATCCGACAGCCGTTGGCATAAACTATGGCGGTTTCGTAGCGTAAGCTACACTATAGCCGAGGTTGAGAGCGATTTCGCGTGGCTTCCGGTGAGCAGATCTGCGCATGCGCGAGCAGCCGTGATGT